TTGTGCACTGACCGCCTCATCTTGCAACCTCCAGACCCGGATGGCAGGCAGATTCCAAATCGTTAGCTGGGGCTGTGTTCTCGCCGACGATCTCGAGTGTGTAGCGCATTATTTCGTGCATGGCTGGCTACTAAATCGCGTTGAACATCGCACTGCAAGTGTAGGAGTCGAACTACCCTGGCACGTCCTTCCAGACCAGCCTGCCCTCTCCTGTGCTACATTCGACTCTGCGACGCCAAGGGCACCATCGCTTGTCTCAATTGACCGGCAACTCGTCGCCCATTGCAACCGTCTCTTCATCATCGCCGTCTCGCCCAACTCGGAAGGACGGAACAGGAGGACCTCGGCCGCATTCCGAGAGAACTAGAGTACCCTTCAAGTCTCGCTGCTCAAATACCCAAACACCCCACGGCTGAACCGCGGGCACCGGCTCTGTCTAATCGTCATCTCTGCGCGCCGACGAGCCTGACTTTTGTACGTTTCGGATGTGCGCAGGGGTTCATTGTCGCCCTGTGGACTGACTTGCGTCTAGCGCATCGCTCACTGCAACTCGACGGCTTCTCCGCCATTTCGGCGCCGAGGGAGAGAACCGTTTAACCCATAAGTGCGCGTCGCTGCCAATGCCGCTCCTATAGCATGGCAACTACTATCAAAACCGACCCCTCCTCCGAGGGTGCCAGTCATCGCGACAACAGCAGTGGTATGTGGAATTTCTCTTGGCAGTCTCCAGCGCTTTAATCGCTCCACGTTTTGAAGTTGTATCTGTTTTGGCTCCGCTTCGCGATTCCTACAGTTTGTTCTTGGCACGTAGACATGGCATCCGCCATTGGGTCGCTGCCGCTGAAGCTTCTCGCGTCTTTACTCCACTCCCAGAAACGTGCTGCAGAGACATGACCAGTCTCGCCATGACAACCTTGAAAGCTCTGCTCGGGTTAGCATGAACGTTGCAACATTCCCCGCGGCTCGCATGGTTGCCGGCCGTTGAGTTGACATCGATGCATTAACGGCCAAAGACCCTGCGAACGCTTGCGTGCCTCACCCGGCAAGGCGCTGGCGATACTACATATACATGGCTGCACTACTCTCCTTTCTCGTCAAAGCTCATCATACACACATACATAATATTCCTTTTTGTTTCTTTCATCTCTTACCTAATATCGAAACATCATGTCGCATGCTCGTTATATGTCCTGGCCTAATGCGCATGCGCTGACCATGGCGCCCACCTACCCTCCATCCGGCGCTGCCATCGAGTACCCCTCACCCGCTGCTTCTCGTCGCGCTTCCGAGTGTTTCTCTGAAGTGAGCATGAGCAGCAGCAGGAGAGGGAGCTTGGCTGGATTTGCGTCGGACATGGAGAGTACCGGGCAGTGGCAATCTGTAGGAAGCGAATCTAAAAGTCCCCTAGCACAATTCGGATTCTTCAAGGGTCTGACCGACAAGAAGACGACAAGAGGTTTGTTCATCGAGATATCGCCTCGATCTGGTGGCTGACTCCTGCAAGATGGCCAACCACCCAAGAGAAGAGGACCCAAACCGGATAGCAAACCGGCTTTGACCAGACGGCAAGAGCTGAACCGCCAGGCGCAGAGGTAACATCAGCCAAGCCATGTGTCCTATCACGTACTAACTTGTTGACAAGAACACACCGAGAGAGAAAGGAGCTATACATCAAGGCCCTCGAGCAGGAGGTGATCCGCCTCAAGGATACCTTTGCGGCTACTACGAGGGAACGGGACGCTTTCGCAGACGAGAACCGCCGACTGAGAGAGTTGCTCATGGCGCATGGCATCTCCTTCGACCTTTCCAGCCCGGGGAGTAATGGCATGGGCCGCGTCGACAGCTCCGCATACGGAAGCTCCACTGGCAGTATATCAGGCTACGGGCCAGGATCAGCGTCGACTGGCTATACATCGCCACCAACTCGCGGATCCAGCTCTCATGATGGAATGAACGGTCAAGCCTTGACTCTTCAACAACAACAAGCCCAGCAGTCCGGTCACCATCAGCAGCATGCAATGGACTATGACCAGATTGGCATTGACTTCGTCTTAACGTACGACCGATCGCCTTATCTTTCTCCTCCGCCCCAGCAGTAATGCGCTTACGTCTTTTCTTCTTCATTCTTTTTGGCCTCCGTACGTCATTCGTTATCTTTACGAGATCTGTTCTGACGACTGCGTCTAACAGGCTCGAGCGACCCTGCATGGACCACATGCAGTTTCTAATGGTCCGCGCCAACGAGGCCGACGAAAACATCAGCGGCCATGCGCTCATGGCAACGGCACCTCCCGATGCGCACATTACGAATTGCCCCGAGGAGAAGTATCCACATCAGATGCCGGACGTCAAGATGCCGGATTTGATGAAACTACTCGATCTCAGCAATCGTCTGCCCCTTGATGGGGAAATCACGCCTATCATGGCCTGGGCGAAGATTCTCCAAGACGAGTGCTTTAGGGATCTTTCCAAAGAGGACATTGAGCTCGTGAAGAAGGAGCTCCTTGCCAAAGTCCGCTGCTACGGGTATGTTGGTATCACTTGATTCAGCTGGGCAAGCACTGACCCTACCTAGCTTTGGCGCAGTCCTCGAGGAATTCGAAGTCAGCGACGCCCTGATGACAGTTCTTGCCAGCAAATACTCCAATGGTCCCACGCCAGCATAATGTGTAGTCACGAGAAAAACGGCACTAGTTAAGTTTTTGGAATAATCTGTAATGTCATTCGCTCGATATGAATAATGCAAACATATCTTCAACTCTAAAATCCCAAATGGTGTTTGACATGTGCATGGTGACTCGTGAGTTGGCGCATGCCCGCCGATCTACTGTGAAATAAAGGGTCCAGGCTAGCGCCCCACTAGACCCTCGTCCTGTCAGGGCGGTGTTATGAAACCCGTGTACTTATGAAACTACAATCGCTACACGTCGTCGTCTCGAGGCCTATAAAACCTCCGCAATATACGCCGGCTTGCCTTCCCAATCTTTCTGCCTCTTTCGCCACAGTGACTTGGGCACAGCACAGCTATCCACCGTACCCCGCGCGACCCCCGACCGAGCCTCAGTCATGGCCGAACTCAGCGTTTACGACAACGACCCGACAATATACCTCTTTACCTCGCTGACCGCTGGGTCCTCTCACATCGTTACTGCCACGTCTCGAATCGAAACAATCCTAAGAGCGAACAAGATCCCTTTCAAGGGAGTGGACACGGCGACAGATGAGCTCGCAAAGAAGTTGTTCCAGCGGAGAGCAAGCGGGAAGAAGCTACCGTTGATAGTCAAGGAGGGATACGTCCTGGGTGTAGGTATAGTAGAAAGCGCGTAGTTAGTACAGGAGGCTAACGTGTATCTTGCAGGGCATCACAGAGATCGAAGAATGGAACGAGTACGACGAGATCCGAGAAGCGCTGGGCGTCACGTCAGCCTTCACGCCCTTTCCTGCGAAACCCGGCCCACCGCTCATGGCTGCGCCAGCAACAACGACCTCCTCCTTCTCATCCACAAGCGCAGCTGCGAAGAAGGAGAATGTCATCATACCTAGTCCAGAGACAAACCTGGCGCTCCGTGAGCTAGGGGCTGAGGCTGCGAAGAAGGCCGCGTCGATGAAGCCTACTCCAAGCAACATCAAGACTACGAACCCATTGCTGGCTGAGAAGACGAACACACCGACCTCGGCGACGTCGAAGAAGAGTCCTACAAAGGAAGATCCTAGCAGTATCCTCTCGCCCAAATCTGTCCCATTACCCGACACGCCGAAGCTTGCGACGCCTGCTACACCGACAGCGACGGAGACCGCGACGAAAGATACAAAGGCTGTTGCTTCGACCGCCAAAGCGGAGGCCAAGCCTGCAGCCTCGACCACAGCGACGAAAGACGCGAAGAGCACGAAGGACGCGAAAGCTGCTACACCAAGCACGAGCAAAGACACCAAGGCGAAGGACACTAAGACAAAGGACGCGAAAGACGCGAAAGCAAAGGACTCCAAGGCGAAAGACACCAAAACAAAGACTACCACATCCTCAAAAGATGCAAAGTCAAAGTCTACAAGAAAACCCGCAACCGGAGGACTCTTCGGCCTCGGAAAGCCCGTCGCCAAATCAAAGTCGTCGAAACCCTCGAGCAGCAAAGACACAAAGAGCAAAGATACAAAGTCCAAGAGCACAAGAGATACCAAGGCTGCCACGAAACCGGGTATCCCCAAGCTCTCCGATCTGCAGAAACCTGTGCATGCACCTCCATCTATGCACGACGATGCGAAGAACCCTGCGCTTAGTGCTGGACCGATAAGCTCGACGGAGAAGGAGGATGAGGAGAGTGATAAGGAGGAGGAAGATAGCGAGGAAGAAGAGTCCGAAGAGGAGAGCTCCGAGGAAGAGGATGCCGATGCGGAGAAACCAGCAGCAGCTAAAGCTCCGGCAAAAGCTCCTGCAGCAGCTGAAGAGAGCAGCGAAGAAGAGGAGGATAGCGACGAGGAAGAAGAGAGTGAAGAGGACAGCGAAGAAGACAAGAAACCCGCACCATTGGCTGCAAAAGGGAAACCCGCAACACAAGCCAAGAAAGAAGCCGAAGCAGAGGAGAGTTCAGAAGAAGAAGACAGTGACGAAGATGATGACGAAGAGAGCTCAGAGGAGGAAGAAGAAACACCGAACACGCAGAAGCAATCTGCCAAGGACGCCAGTAAGGCTGGTGTGAGTGTGAAGGACTAGAGAGAACGGAGAGCACGTGTGGATACTAGGAGCAGGCGCTGTATATAGTTTCAAGTACAAGATAGTAGTATATAATTCAAGTTTTGGGCAAATGCCATAATATTGCATGCGCAGGTGGATTGCATCATTTTAACGCCATCGCTGGATGCTGACTCTGCATATGCAGTATAGAAAAGACCACATCTAACCAAAAATTACATCTAAGGACCTCTGATGACGAAGGCCGTATGAAATCTGTGCCAACAACACCTCACACACTCCACTCCATCCACTATGTGCCGGCGGAGCTGAATCAAGCAGCAACATCCAAACCCGCCTTCTTCAAGCCATTCAAAAACTGCTCTTTAACATCCCCCTCACCACTCACAGCCTCAGCCGTCTTCTCCACCTCTGCAGCCGGCGCACTAAGCTGCGCCATCATCATCTTCTCCACAGCCGCAATACCCGCTTCCTCCGCTTTACTCAGACTATCAGCCGCACTAACTGCCTCATCCTTCTTCTTTCCTTTCCCCTTGCCCTTGGCGCCCTCCTCACTCTCTTCACCTTGGACCATCTTGTCCAGTTCCAGTTTACTTACACCGAGCGCGTAGATCTGCTCTTCGACTGTTCCCTTGGTGACCAGTCTGACGACCTCAACCTCCCTCGTTTGACCAACGCGATGCGCGCGGTTCTCTGCTTGGATGTCGTCTTGAGGGTTGAAACTCGAATCGAAGATGATGACTTTGTTTGCGCAGGCAAGGTTGATACCTGCGCCGCCGCTCTTGGTGCTGATCATGAAGAGTTGGATGGATTCGTCTTGGTAGAATACGTCCATGAGGGATTGGCGTTCTTGAATCGGTGTGGAGCCGTCCATGCGCATGAAGTTGATGTCGTGGTCGTCAAAGACCCAGCCGAGAATGTCCATGACGGATGTGAATTGCGAGAAGACCAGAGCGCGGTCGCCGTTCTCTTTATACTTTTTCAGCAAAGCGAGGAGCGCGGCGACTTTGCCAGAGTCCATCCATTCCTGGTCTTGGAGCTCGAACTTCTTGAGCGCGCGGTACTTGGAGGCGAGCTGGTGGCATTGGTAGTCTTGGTATAGCTGGAGTTCTTCGTAGATGATGTCTGGGCTGCTTTCGGCGAACATGTCTTCTTTAAGACACGCCTTTGACATCTTCCGTATCTTGTCGTCGTTGTATCGGTGGCGGAAGAGTAGGGGGTGAATGGCTGCTTGTCGCAGCTTCATCATAACGTTAGCATGGTCCTTAACGGGTATGCCTGCTGCTCGGTCTTCGAGGATCTTGCGTTGCTTGGCCAACTGCTCGTTGTAAAGCGTCTTTTGCGTATCAGTAAGATTGCAGTACTCGACACGGGAAGTTTTCTTCGGTAGATGCTTGAGCACTTGAGCCTTCTTTCGTCGGAGGATAAACGGTGTCAGCATCGTACGAGCGCGTTGGATACGTTGAGCAGAAAGCAGAGAGCTGTGCGAGTCGCTCTCCATAGTCTTGGCTTTGTGCTTGAACAAAATCTGCAGCATCTCCTGAACCTCCTCCTGCTGATCGCCATAGAAAACCTGCGGCATGAGGAAACCCAAAATCGACATGAGCTCCTGAAGACTGTTCTGAAGTGGCGTTCCTGTCAACAAGATTCTGCAAGTCGTAGGAATCTTCATCAAGCTCTTGTACCGGATCGTGTTGGCGTTTTTGAGCATGTGCCCTTCGTCAAAGATACAGATCTCGGGCCTGCACTTTCTCAAGAACGAAGAGTCGTCCTTTCTAAAGGTAAGGTCATATGTCGTGATGATCACATCGCACGTTCCCTGGCGGATGTTTTGGAGAATGCTCTCCTGGTGAGAGAACCGCTCCGCCTGTGATCCATAGTAGGGCGTAAAGTTGATCGTGTTGGAGAAGCGCTCAAACTCACGACACCAGTTCTCTAGTGTAGATCCAGGCACAACGATAAGCGCAGGCTTTCCGACGCCTTCTTCTTTGAGGTGTGACAGAAAAGCGATGATCTGGCATGTCTTTCCCAGACCCATATCGTCGGCCAGAATACCCGAGGTTTTAGTCTTCCATAAGAGGTTCAGCCAGTTAAGACCTACAACCTGGTAATCCTTGAGTTCGATATCGTCGTTCATAATCGCAGGCTGTGTCAAAAGCTTTGTACGAGTGGCCGCTTTTCGTATGTTGTTAGACTCCGTGTCGCTGCCATTCGGGCTCCGAGGGGTATGATAACCTGAGTCGCGAGAAGAGTTCGTGTCGCTAGCATCATCGAGACTTGTAATCTCGACTCCATCCTCTGTGGAAGCACCAAAGATATCAATGCCCCATTTTGCCATGCCCGCAACCATCGGCTTGCCCAGAGCCTCACACTGCTGAACGACCGAGTCGATCGTGTTGTATGCGTTCCACATGGCCTCGGTTGATTCCACAAGTCGCTGTCCGGTTGTTATACGTGGCTTGCGAGACTTCTTCTTGCCTTTCTCCACTGGCGTGAGATCCACATGGACCTTGCGAATAGCATCAAGCGACTTGAATGGGCGATGCTTGAAGATCTCCTTGATGTCCTCTTCTTTGTGACTGGATAAGTCGATCAACTCCTCCACTGTACAAGTGTTGAAGAGGTTCAACAATTTACTATCGTCAAAGCTGTTCTCCACCACCGAGCCACCTGCTTCCGAATCGTCGTCGATCATGAGATCGGCAGCAATACCCTCGTCCTCGTCGGAGGAGACAACGATCGCTGCCTCCTTCTTTGTTTTCTGTTGCGGTCGTGCGGGTACAGGTTCGGGGGAGGGCGAGAAGGCGGCTTTCTTGCGGTCCTTTCCGCTCTTGAGTCGACGTTTTGGTTTCGGTGGTTCCTTCTCAGGGCTATCGATCGTGACTGGGCTGTTCTGAGTCGCGCCTAACTTCGAGTACTTGTTCTGCAGCGACTGCACAGGCTGCTTAAGACCTCGCTGTGCCGTCTTCTTTACAACTGGATTTGATGCTGTACGGGCTACTCCTGGGCGAGGAGGAGACCGTAGCAGCTCATCCTCGGACTCCTGTTCCGCCAGATACTCAGAGGCGTCATTGAAGTTGCCTTTTCGCTTTGTCAAAGCATCGTGAATTTGCTTGACAGAGCGGTTCGGGTATATAGCCTGTAGTCGCTTGACTTTGGTATACGTGCTCAAGTCATGGATGTCTTCCATGGTCATCTCCGGTTTCTCGCGCAGGAACTCGGAGGCTTCGTTCCAGTCGCCGTTGCTCCTTTTCAAAGCATCAAATTGTACTTTGACAGATTGTTTCGGGTACATGGCCTGCAACCGCTTGACCTTAGTGTACGTGTTCAAGTCATGGATGTCTTCCATGGTCATCTCCTTGTCTTCAGTCAAGTCTATAGGTATGGCGCGTGAAGGACCCCCTTGCGGCTGCATAGGTTTCTGTCGCTTAGGTGGTGTACTCGACTCGAATCGTTCCGCTGGTCGTTTACGCGACTGGTCGCTGCCGTATTTATAACTTGACAGATCCCAAGTCGGCTTCTGTGGTGTCTCTTCAATCCTTGATGTCATGGATGCCATCTCAATCTTGGACAAGGGTATATTAGACCTATACTCCGACTCGTCCTCGTCTGGGTCGCGCTCAACAGGCGGGTCGTCCGAGGTGAGGTCGACGACTGGTTTGCGGACTGCTTGTGGGGGAAAGAAGCCTGTGCCAGGCGGTGCCATTGGGTTGCTGTAGCCCCCGTATGGGCGTTGCGACTGCGACGGCGGCGACATGACAGGCGACGAGTCGCGCTGAGGGGCGGGTGACGAACGCGGGACTTGTAATTGCGAGGAAGAAGCCGTGGCTTGGACTGGGTGCGCGCGCGGCGTGACTATGAGCGTGGGCTGCGTGGTATCAGACGGCGCCGCAAAGAAGGGCGAGCGCTCCCCGAGGATTTGCGTAGGCTGCGTGACGTAGGTATCGCGCTCGTCGTCGCTGTGCGGAGAGGCGCGCGGTGCCATCGGGGGCGGAGAAGACGAGAGTATGGGATCGCGGCGGTACATTGTGCGACTGCACTATGGCAGCGAGTTGAGCAGAGTAAGGATGCCGTCGTGGTAGTGGATGTAGTAGTCAATTTCGCCGCTTCGTTCGCGGGCGGAAGAGCGCAAAGAGAAGATGCAGAGAACAACGGCTAAGCGCACTAACAAAGGCGAAGTGGACAAAGCAACGGGTATGTTAAAACACCCACAGAGCGTAGGCAGGAAGGAGCCTTGAAAGGGTTTGCCCTGGGGACGCGGATCACCAAACACAACGCGTTAAAACCACTTTACTACGCGTAAAGATATTGAGCTTGGACCATTCTGAGAGCCTATTACGTTGCTGAATTCGGCTGAGGGCCTGGTCCGTCGCTTCCTCACGAGCCAGAACACCACGACATACAGGCCCCATCTGCAGAATGACGACTAGAAGAACCGTAAACGAGCAGAAGTCGTCTCTGGACTATGATGGAAAGGCTGCCCCCGAGCCGTCCAACACCTCGCCAGCGGTGCCATCGTGAGTCGCCTTTATGCTGGGTATCATGTGTATAGTGCAATGGCTGACAATGGCAACAGATCGGTCATTTGGAAGTTGATGAGCTTCACATTTGCCATGATCACACTGCCGATTGGCACATACTTCTTCACAGTCAACTTTGTCTTCAAGGGTAAGTGGTTCATGAGAGGTTTGGAACTGGCACTGACTCTACCCAGGCAACGCAACATGGGCGGGTGGTTTGGCAGCACTCATGGCGAACGTGGTCTTGATCGCATATGTGATCATGGCATTCAAAGATGATCAAGAGGAGATGCGAGAAGAAGCAGAGAAGTCCAAGAAGAAGTTGTAGGGCTTGTCCGTGAAGATGGCTGGGGTATCGATGCATGCTAGAAGGATCGGCTCGACTGTTCAAAGTCTACGCCAACACATGTTCTTGCGGAACAATGCGTGGTTACAATGATGACTGAAATCACATATCACCTGGAACAATAATATCAAAGACGAATTTGCTCATCAACCATTATGATTACCACATTACCAGCCGGCTCAAGGAGCGAACTTCTACTGTAGCAGCATATCTCAAAACTACAAGGAGTGACAATCGCGGTATATACCCTTTCCACATTCCTGAAACGCCACAGTAACGCCAACATGCTGTATACGCAGGCTCGCGCAACAGTGATTCGACCAGAGGACTCCAGAGCCCCATGGTGAAGATATTCATTCATCATCATGGCAAGCCCGCGCCTCTCGTTGTCGAATAGATTCCCAGGAGCGCCGTTCGTGATAGCTAGTCGCCATCTTCTTTCCTATCATCGCTCGTGGCTTAGTCTTTGCTGAACCGTCTCTTAAACCAGCTCTTGCGCTTCTCGCCAGCATCGCTGCTCTTCTTCGAAAGCATAGCTGGTCTTGTGTTCTCGGTAGCAGGCGGTCCACCACCACCGAGTTTGATCGGTGCTGCCTGGGTGGAGTGCCTTGGGGGTGGTGGTGGCATGGCGTGAGCGGGCGGTTGCGGTGGTCCTTGTGAGTAGTTACCCGACCCCTGTGCGTACTCCTCCATGATGGGGCCCCTTCCGAATCCATTAAAGCCGTACTGAGCACCCATGTCCTGTTGTGGTGGTTGCACGGGCATGCCGCGTTCGATGGAGCTGTTCTCGCTGTTGCTGTGGTCGTTGGAGTATGGGCCGTCGCTGTGGCTGCCATTCGAGCCATTCGTGTTGACGGTGTCGCGCGACTGTTGGTAGCCGTTCATGGGGTAGACACCACCATGGCCGCTCTGTCTGTTGTTCCAGCCCGGGTCGGACTGCATGCGGTTGCCGTATCGCATGCGCTGTGGTTGTGCGCCAACAGGCCCACCGTTGCCGTAGCCATCGACATAGCTGTCGCGCTGCGTCTGCCTTTGGGGAAAGTAGCCGCTGACGGACGAGAAGCGGTTCTGGTCGTTGTATCCGCCGCCGCCGCCATAGTAGCTGCTCCGTCGGCTCGCGTAGCTCATGACGTCGGTCTGGTCGGCGCGCATTGACTGCGCGCGGCGTCTGTATTCGCCATCAATGGCAGCCTCGAAGGAGCGGATCGTGTCGAGTGGTCGCTCCCATCGCGAGCGCGTGGGGTTGGAGAGATCGGGATCGGCTGGTAATGGTTAGATAACGAATGTACAGAGCGCTGACGACATGACTTACCAATGGGATTACCGGCTGCGTCGGTATGGTTGAACGAGCGGAGAGACGCGAGAGTGGGCTTGGTGAGGGCTTCGGCGACTGGGGCGGGTTAGCCACGATAAGATAGACAGGGTGCACAAGATGGCATACTGGGCTGCTGTTCATTCATAGCGGCGTTGGGGTTCGCCTTTGAGTTTGGATCGTAGTGGTCAGAGTATTTGCGCTGGTGCTTGTTCGGGCTTTTGGGAGACGCGGGAGTCTCGCGGCTCTTGCTGCTCTTGTTGCTATGAAAGCTGAGACCGCGCGGGCGCGATGGCTGCTGTGCCGCTTGCTCCATTCTTGCAACGATGGGCGATACCCAGTTTTTTCTGCGGAGCGTCTAACGAGTCGTGCGAGCCGGGTAACTCGGTGGGTGGAGCTGGAGCTGTAATGTGGCGCGTGGTGAGTAAGTGGAGCGTGCGGCGTATCGAAGTAACTGAGACGAGATATGTCGCAGAAGCAAATTGATGAAGGATCAAAAATGCGTGATGATAGAGCTATGGAAACTGGGTGTTAACACGCGAAAAGGCGGACCAAGTCTAGGCTGTGTAGTAAGACAACGTACCTAGGTAGTGACGCGCGGTCCATTCACTCTTCGACGCCCAGACGCGACTCGTCATCAAGCCACGACCAGACTAAACGGTTGGGGAATCTCACCATCACCGAACATGAAACAGAAGTACCGAGCAAGGGTGTCTATCTACTCTTATCGCTCTGCTGTGCATTTCTCCCAGCCTTACTCTACAAGATACTCTCACCTCACAGCGACCGTCCGTTCACCTGTGAGACAATGGAGGGTCAAGTCTCACTGCACAGCCTACTAGTCCAACCCAAACGCCCCTCGTATCTCCCGTTAGCTGGCAAATTTAGACAGCGTCAATAGTTTACTTCCGGAAGCGGACGCTATGTTCTCACCCGAACCTCCACGCCAGCCACCACGAAACTCAATTCACAATCTCAATTACATTCAAGACAACCACCACCTGTTAATTGCGCAGCACAGCACAATCTGGCTATCACGGCACCTGCACTGCTGTCGCAGCACCTCTGATCTTCGTCTTGCATCCCGCAAATGCTATCTATGGTACACCATGCAGACTAGTGGCTGAGGCGTCCCTTCAATCCAGCAACCAGCAGAAACCTAGCCGCGTAGCCGGACTCTTGCAGAATCTCTGACAAACATGGACAGCTTGCATTTTGCCGCTCTTCCTCGTGTGTCAAATCCCATCTTTAACAAAACGCATGGAAATCCATGACATGGGTTACGCGCGGGGCAGTGGGTACTATCGTCGCCTAGGATACGTCAAGCAGCTTCGATAGGCACGGCGCGGTTTGGCCGACGTTTCCAACGCGCCAAGATTCCCACTGTTAACTCGGGTGGGCTTGCATCACTTCGCTCCCCGTGAACATGACCCTTGCGCGCTAGCCATCATTTATTCGTTGATGAGTGCTATATGCTCATCATATCCATTACATATGCTTAATCCTTTTTCATGTCCCCCCCCACTAGCTGTGCGTAGGCATATTGACCGACGCCTTTGTCGCGACCGCGTCTTCGCTCCTCCAAAGACTTGTCACTGTCTTCTGTTGTGTGTAGAATTGGAGACCTGGCTTTCCGTAGAAAGTGTTTGCACCGCCGCCTGCGACCGACTTCTTGTTACCAGTGAAGGAGAACATGGGGAGCTGCTGATATTAGCGATTATTCGTTACGTTTGGTTCAAAAGAAAACTTACAGGTACGGGAATGGGTACGTTGATACCAACCTGACCGGCTTCAATCTCACGCTGGAACTTGCCGGCAGTGGCACCTGAGCGAGTGAAGATGGCAGTACCGTTACCGTACTCGTTGGCGTTGATCATCTCGATAGCCTCGTCGATGGTCTCGACGTTTAGGCAGACAAGGACAGGGCCAAAGATCTCCTCGGTGTAGCACTTCATGTGTGGCTTGACGTTGGCGATGATGGTAGGACCGACCTGAACAGCACAATCAGAATGAGATCATTCTCATATATCAGGAAGACTTACCCAGTTGCCGTTGGCGTACTTGTCAGACGGAGGCTTCTGACCACGTCCGTCAAGGAGGATAGTCGCACCCTCTTCCTCGGCGCTCGCAATAAGGTCTTCGATCCTCTTCTTGGACTGAGGGCTGATGACGGGACCAAGATCGGCGCCCTCCTCGAAGCCGCCGTTCATCGACAGTTCCCTTGCGCGCTCAGCGATCTCAGGAACCCATTCCTTGGTCTCGCCGATCATGACAAGAGTGCTCAAAGCCATGCATCGCTGACCAGCAGCACCAAAGGCAGCACCAGCAATGGCGTTGAGAGCATGGTTCTTGTTGCAGTCGGGGAGAACAGCAGCGTGGTTCTTTGCGCCCAAGTTGGCCTGAACACGCTTGCCCTGGGCCGATGCGCGCGAGTAGATGTATTCTCCAGCCTTGTTGCTACCGACGAAGCTTATCGCCTTGATGCGGGGCTCGTCGATGATGAAGTCAACCGTCTTGGCTGAACCGTGTACAATGTTGATGACACCAGCAGGGAATCCAGCCTTCTCCGCAAGCTCGGCAAGGATCATGCAGGCGCCGGGATCGCGTTCCGAAGGCTTGATAACGACAGTGTTACCGGTAACAGCAGCGATGGGGATGGTCCAGAGGGGAATCATAGCGGGGAAGTCTGGGGTAGCACATTAGCACAAACCTCATTTACCGCCAGTCGTGCACTTACTGAAAGGGCAAATGGCAGCTACAACACCCAATGGCTCTCTGTAGCTGCGTGTCTCCATGTCCTTGGCGACCTCGAGGACTTCGCCAGTCATTTGCGTTGTGATACCGCATGCGGTTTCCGCAACCTGCAAGCCACGGAGCACATCACCGCGCGCGTCTCCAAATGTCTTGCCCTGTTCCAGTGTGATGCTAGCAGCCAAACGGTCCCAGTTCTCGCGAATCAAGTGTGTGTATTTGAACAGAATCTGCTGCCTGTGGAGCAAGCTGGTCTCTTTCCATGGCTTGAAGGCCTTCTCGGCGCTGTCCACCGCGGCCTTGAGCTCCTCGTCTGTGCTCTGCGGCACGCGTGTAACCAGGTTGTTGGTCGCGGGGTCGTGTAGATCTATCCATTGTGTTGCTTTCGATGCCACGAACTTGTTGTCGAGGAAGTTTGGTGTGTCTGCGGGCGACTGGATTGGCTCGTGGTTCATAGGGTACGACTCGGCCGCAGACGATGCGGGCTTCAGGTGCTGCGCCGTGGCATGCAGCCGCCGTGCGGCGACTTTACTTTGGCTGACTGGCGATGACATTCTCGTACAGAGAGGGGCCGCGCGCGCGACAGACGAGCGAGCACTCAATGTTGGGAGGCGTGAGAGCGCGCGACGAGAGAACATGATCGGGAGCAAGGTAAGCTCAACGCAACCTTGGAAGACGCAATTGAAGTTGAACAAGTCTTCTGCAGGATCAAGCAACAGAAATTGCACCTAATCAAAGAAGAAACCACGTGGTGAGCAACCGGCACTTGCGGCTATAGGGAAAGTGAATCCGGGTTGCCTTCCCAGTGTACAGCCGAACTCTCCCCGCAATGCCCAGGTGCGCATCCGTCGATAACCAGCTCCCGAGGTCGGTGGCCTCTCCTCCGCGGCGTGTGCAGCGTTTATGTCATCACCCGCCCCACTTTCACATACACTGATACACATCTTGACATTTCGTATGGCTGTGGAGTTGGGGAGTGTATCTTTTATCCATATTGTTACTTACAAAATGTGGCCAAGAACCCTGTCTAGGTAGGAAGCCGCACCTTCTTCGTAGGAGTGCATACACTTCTGTCCCAAACATTATCCAGCGCATTCAAGATATGTTTCCCATAACTGGGGTCGTAGAACGTTCCAATGTTGACATCCTGGAGTGCGCGATACGTGAACTAGATTGAGTTCTTCTTGCAGCCGTTGCTGTTACTCACTATTCCGTGGTAAAGTAGACATTTGAGTAGGATGCTCGGCGGCGTATTGCTCTGGGCTTGCAGGCTCGAGATCATAGCTTATCTGGTACCTCGACGGATGTCGCTGTCGTAGCTGTCGTTGCTGCAGACTGCCTTTTGACCATGGAGCGACTCCTACGTTCGTTCCAAAAGTAGACACGGTCCAACACAATGGTGTGATTGCGAACCACGACGGTGCCTAGAGTGTGACCGTTCTTGCCAATGACTTTGTGCTTGTTTCGTTTGGTGCCGCTTGTCTCAACATGGCCCACCTTTGCGAACTCAGCGACGACCGTGCCTGCCTTCTTCATGGTCTCACTACCTGAATCAGAGCTTCCGGAAGACTCCGATGAGTCCGATGAGCTGGGAGGACCTGGCAGGCTGTAGGGTGGGTCCTTGAGGCGTTGTAGCTCAGCGCGCCGGAGAATGAACTTGTCGCGGTCTACGCTGTTGTGGAGGTTGCGAACATCGTGATCGTCTGAGACCTCGCGAATAGTATTGGTCTCTGAATACGACATGGGACTCTTCTCTTTCGCGGAGTCCTGCGTGGGGGTCTCTCCTTCGTGACCGCTGTCCAAGTCGCAAGCGTCTTCTGGCTTCACAGTGCCTTGTCGCTGGCGCCTCTCTTGTTGCCGATGCCTCTGGGTTGGCTTGGGAGTATGCAGTTGGCGCTCATCGATCTGGGCAGTCTAAAAAATATCAATATTAGTACAGCTCGTAAGGATGCATCGCGAGCATTGTTTGATCACGTCGGATACACTTTGGGACTTTCTTCGTGATGGCGGTTCAACTCCATGGTTGGTCGACGGATACGGGAACACATCCGGGATGTCGTTATTGGGTTACAGTTTGCGGGGCACATGTGCATAGTGGAGACGCTAGAAACTACTGGGACTCGCTCAAACGCGAAGTCAGTGTCGATTGGATAGATCTCTACTCCAACGGTTGTGCCCCCACCACACCAATACCAGAACGTCAATATTGTCTACGACTATGCCGCCCCTCAGCCCGCTTGATGAGCTGTATGCCGACAGGTTCCACGCCGTGACTAACCTGTGGCGTGAATAGAGGTTCGAGGAGGCATACGCCGCTTGTCGGAGGTAGAAGACGCGGAAGAAGACGAGATAGACGAGACTGAAGATTGCTATGTCCTGGAGGAGCCGCAGACAATATCATGTAGCGACAAAGAGGACCCCGATACCAGCGACTCTGACGCTAGCGACGAGGAAATGTCTAATGACAGTAATGGAATAGATCTCGCCCATACAGGCGATGAGGAACAGGACGTCAGCGACAAGGGTCAGTCAAGCGTACAAGAAGGAGAGACACGAGAGGAAGCCGAGTAACAACACACATCCAAACAAGTCATAGGCTTATCGATGAAATCTGAACATATGTTTCTACACACCCTATTTCCCAGCCTGTGACCCGGGGAGCTGCACATCCCATTTTCAGGAACAAAGCCTCAATACATAATCATAGCGCCGAGAACCTCGAAATGATGTGTAACTGCAAATCAGGAATCCAATCGGAGAGGGGCGAGGAAATGCCCTCTGAACCACACTTTTCGGTAGTCTGTTCCTCGTACTCTGTATCTCCCAACAGGGTACTACTCCTTTCACTGACAAGTCAATATTGCCTATGAAGCGTTTGAGCGAGTGGTGCGCTTGTTGATCTCAGCCTGGGCCTTCTCAGATCCAGTAGCGACGGCCTCGGCGGCCTTGTCCTTGGCGTCAACAGCGGACTTCTTGGCCTTGTTTGCCTGGGCCTTGACCTGCTCCTTGGAAGGAGCGGCGCCGGAGCCGAGGAGAACGGAGGCAAGGATAGCAAAGATGGTGACAGCGATAACACCAATACCACCAGCGACCTCAGGGACGAACTTGGCAGCCTCGACGGGGTCGCGCTTGGCGATCTCGAGGAAGAGAGCGACCTTCTCCTTGACGTAAAGAACTGGGTCATCCTTGAAAACAAGGTCGGAGGGCGACTTGGGTGTGTCCTTGGGCTTGGGCTTGTTGGCCTCCTCGTCAGCCTTCTCAGCAGGGTGCTTGAGATCGAAGGTCTCGGCCTTGAGCTTCTCAGCGTCGTCGATGGAGTGGCCAATGTAGATGTTGTCAAAGAGAATGTCCTTCTGCATGGTCCAGATTTCGAAACCAATCTACGTCATGTTAGCAAAGAGTCTGTGAAATCAAGATGCAATCAACTTACAGCACCGATGGGCTCAAAGTTGGCAGGGGTCTTGTCCTCGAAGTAGTCAGGGTTGGCAATCTTCTTTGGGGCCCAGACGCCCTTGTAAGCCGGGTTGTCGATGAAGGGAGCGGTCCACTTGCCCTTGTAGGCGGGGTTCTTCTTCATAGGAGGCTCCCACTTGCCGCAGCCAGAGACCTCGTCACACTTGGGGTTGGGAACGGTGGGAGGAACCCAGTCACCATCCTCCTCGTCATCCCAGTCTTCGGGCTTCTCAGCCTCGGGGTCGGGGATGGTAGTGGGCTCATCCTCAAGCCAGTCTTCAGGCTTGGTAGCCTCCTCGTCGACAATCTCGAACGGCGCATCCTCATCCCAGTCCTCGGGCTTGGTAGCCTCGGGGTCAGCGATGCGGGCCTCGTCAACCCAGTCTTCGGGCTTTGTGTCGTTGGGGTCGTCAATCTCCTCAGGAGGGTTGACGGAGGGGGTGAAGTCCTCCAGGAGGGTTCCGTTGCGAACGGACTCGCCGTCGATCTTCATCTCGAAGCTCTGGTCGGGCTTGACGATGAGGGTGTAGAGGCTGGTAGTCTTGACGATACGAGCCATGGGAGGGTTCTTGAGGTGCTTCTCCTCGTACTCGCCGGTCTTTGGGTTCTTGTGGCGGAAGATGAAGTGAACCTAGAAATGTCAGCGTAGTTGGTTATATTGAGAGAAGTGCCGTACCTTGTTGGTAGCACCGCACTTGTCGGGTCCGAACATGATGATGTAGGGAGAAGCGTTGGAGAACTCCTCAGCGTGGAGGGCTGCGTTATCCTGGAGGAGCTTCATGTAGGCACCACCGCACTCGAGGCCATCTGTTCGTTGTTAGAATTACTTGATATCCCAAATTCGGCTGGAAAACCTACCCTGAAGCTTAACCTCGTACTGAACAACAAGGGTGTCATCCTTGTTGTCAATGGCCTTGGGGAACTTGGCGGAGATGGCATGGTGAGCCGCCTTGTCCTTGATGACCAGTCCCTTGTCACCCTCCATACCCTTCAGTACGGAAGGCTCCTCAACGGACCAAGTGCCAACGTATGCCCATTCCTCGTCATCGGCCTTGACGTCCTTCTTCGCGTGTGAGGGGTTCCATCGGGACTCCCAGTCGTCGGTGAACTGCTCGAGGAAAGGTGCCTTGAGTTTTGTGGGCTACAGGGTATTAGATAGAGTCTCGGCTATGTGTATGATTCAGAGACGTACAGTAAAGGTCGGCTTTGCGACCGTGGTCGAGGAAGAAGACGCTGACTCGGAGGAGCTGGCGTCGTCTGCGCGCACAACGGCGGCAGCGAGCGCAACGGTGGCGCCAATTGCAAAACGCATTGTGCTTGCCTTGGTTGAGGGTTGAAGTGGAGGAGAAGAGTTCACGGATTCAACGTTGGGGCAAGGTGACAGTTAAATGCCCAGTACACAGAAAGGCCACCTTAGTGAAATGTGGCAGGAAGCGGGCCCTTGGAGCTCCCCACTAGCGCCGCGACCCATGCACGGTTATGCTCCAGGGTTATGGATGCTTCTCGAATGGCTTTCACGCCAGCTGGCCAGATCTGATACACTTTCACTCAAGACTTCATTACAGGCAATTACTTTCAATTGTTGAAGAAGTGCCATTAACCCAGGCATCTGCCCAGATGCTCGCTCACGATCGCTCTTTCCAAGATTCTGTGTCCGCGGCGCTAGTGCAGACCTCGGGAAGAACAAACGTGTTCTCCACACGTCAACCCCGAATCCAAAGGTCCCAAGATAAGGAATACAGTTCAGGCTGCTTTTCGAATCTTAAGGAGATGCTTCAAACAGGCCACGTTGTGCACAACACACTCGCATCGATCACGCTCATGCGCTGTACGACCAACACAACACACTGCGTCACCCAGTACTGTCATGAACGTATGTGGTATCGATTGTAGGTGAGCTATATCCGTAGTCGCACCAATGCATGCTGCGCAGCCAACGGCGCTTCAGTGTAGGTATTCCCAAAACTCCGCCGCCTAGCCAGGTCGTAAGATGTGGTCTGCGTGTGTATGCTACCTGTTCCCAAGTCCATCCCGCAAGAATAGTACAAAGCCGCGAACGCCATGCGCTAAAGTCAAAGTTCTAATTACTCCATGCCGCATTCCATATGACATGACCTATGTCGCGTGCAGTATTTACGGTGTCAACAACTCTGCCGATGAGAGTGGGTGGCAAAGGCTCTTCTTCGTCGCCTTCAAATGGCATGAACATGCCGGATGGTGTTCTTCGTAGTGCGCCGCTTTCTAGTGAGGCTGACGACCCACTCCGGCGCAATGAGTACGGATCCGAAGCAGTGGGAGTGCCGGGCCTTTTTGAGCCGTAAGCGCTAGAGGGCTTGAGGTACTCTTCACTCTCTTCGTCGTCCTCTTCCAGCAGGAAGTTCCGTGATGGATTCGACGGCTTCAAGGTCTCGGAGGACGGCGACGGAGAGAGTCCACTGCGCGACTTCCACATGGGGAGTGAGTGATGTTGCTGCGTCTCGGGGACGTCGGGAGAGTCTGTCCGGTACTTGAGCGTCGTCGATGGAAGCTTAGCAATGGTCTTGTTGTCCGTGCTGATGCTGACGGACGAGGCAGTCCGTGAAAGAGGCTTCTTCCGGCGCGACCGCTTCATCATGACGACGCCCTCGTCCGACGAGGAATCCGCTTCCTGGTACTTGGCCCAGGGGTTGTGGTTGCAGTCATCCTCCTCATCGTCGGCGTCTTTGCACTCGACGGCGATACATTGCTCGACCTTGTCGTCGAAGCGGATGTGCCGCTTCTCCCCGTGATCGGGAGTGTGCAGTCCGGAGGTGGACTTTGAGGAGAAGTAGTCCGTGCCTTCCCAAAGCAGGCCTCGGGACAATGTGGAAGATGTGGGGAAGTCGGGGGTTACACGGCCGATGATTGGTCGGGGCCGTCGCAACTCCAGCGTCACACCGGTTGTTTGCTGGGCCTGCACCGACTCGGCCGCTTGTTGCAGCAGTGACGACGACGACAAGGACTTTTGCAGCATGGCCTCGGACATGCTGCGCTTCTTGAGAATTGGCTTCTTGACGCCATTGACGAACGAGTTCGTCTTGGACAGGCGGCTGGCTGGCTCCGAATTCTGCTGCGAGCAGAAGCGATTTGAGGCAGGCTGCATGGGCCCATATAGCCAGGTCACGTCAACGTCTTTAAGCCTGGTGATTCGTTAGCCATGCCCAAGAGTTAAAAATCTGCAAGATGGTGCACGGATGGGGGTGATCGACACCCCTGCCGTGGCTGCAGATCGAAATATTCGGGACTCACCAATTCAATGTCTCGGGCGAGATCGTCTTGAGCTTAAACTGGGCCTTGGCCCACGTTCGCCACGAGGCATTTTCGAGCCTGGAGCGCTCGCCGTAGACGCTGCGGTGCTCGACGATGTGCCGCCATGACGACCAGATGTCCTCCTCGCGCCACTCGTACGAGAGGTAGTCGACGTGATGCGAGGGCTCCTTGCGCACGGCCGTATCGTCTTCGGACATGGGCATGGGGTCTGGCGTGGTCATGGGAGTATCGGAGGAGAAGCCTTCGGTAGGCGACGGTGAAGGCAGCGAGCCCGGGCGCA